ATTCATCTTGTTGCTCATTTAAAATGACTATCTTTAACAACATTAAACTAAATTCCAGCTGAGAGCTATAACAACTATCAGGCATTGATGGGCACATTATCAAACAGATTTAGAATTTCACATCAGCAGGAATTTTCAACAGCAAAGTTTAGAAGCAGAGAAAGGAGGAGACCTTAACCAAACTTACGGAAGATGTGGAAAGTCTTGCCCAACTATCCTATTCCGATGCTGCATGTGAAATGATGGACTCATTGACATGTGACTAATTCACAGAAGCGACAGTGGGTGAGAATATGCGAATTAAGATAAAGCAAGGTAGAAGTACATCTTTCAAGAAAGCTCTCCAGTTGGTTGTGGAACTTGAATCCATTAAAGTTTTAAATAAACAACTATATTCATCCTCCAGGAATTATGAACTTATCAAACAAAATAATATCGAATATCAGTTCTCTCTGATGAAGGTCTAGAATAGACCCAATGTGACAAAAATATGTTCCAACTGTAACTTAAAATGGCGTATTATCAATAACTGTAGACAAGAGCCTTTAATTAAAGAATTGTTTAATTAGGATGGAGAAAGTAGACCACAGGATAGATGGTGCTTCAACTTTAACTTAAAAAGAAATATTGAAATCACTCCCAATAGTAGAAAACATGGACAATACTTTCGAGACCATGACGAACTGGCCATTGATAATGAATCAAAGAGACGATACCTTGAGGATGAAAATACTCTACGTTTTCCAATAGAAATGAGGAAAGTATTATTTAACTAATAAACTGAGTCCACGAGTCAATGGATTTATTAGTGTGAAAATATGCAGTATATAGATCGACATTGATCTATTCCTAGAATTCTTCGACCTGATCTGGTAATGAAAAGTGGGAAGTTGCCTTCAGAGATGAAGAGAGATTGATAGAAAAAAAAAACAAAAACAACACAAGTGGACATAGTTTCAGAAAGAAAAGACTTGAAGGTGGGATATGCAAGCTTTTTATGTATTTCTATCCCCTTAACTCCTAAATAATTTTTTCATAGTTCAATGTATTTCAGGTTTTATCCTTAATATACAATGTAAGTCAAGGGAATTACTAAATTTCCCTCATCTTGGCTATTCACGAAACTGGATGAGTCACCAAAGTAATCACATATGCTATTCATTAGGGAGGACTGATGTAGCATGAAAGATGTTATAGGTGGTAACAGTGATCTGCTCTGCTGACAAGCCACGTGATAATCCAAGGGTTGTGACACCCCCCTGTTGATATCAAAGTAACCTCCAGTCACGTGGATAAGGCATGCAGGTAAATATATAAACTTATATATATGTTATTATGTTTTGTTTGTTTAAGACAGATTTTTGTTCTTATTCAGACCACTAGAATTATTGAGACATGTGGAAAACTAGATTCAGATTTTGACATTGAGAGATTTGTCTACTTTGTGATAGCCAGAGTGATATAGTTTGTTTATTACAGTTTCTAGCTACACTTGATTCAATGTTAGCACCTGTGATCTAAAAGTACAATGGAGACGAAAAACAAACAAATATCTCTCTATCTCTCCAGTGAGTCACACAAGCATTTGCCTAAGTGTTATCTTAACCTAGACTTTGCTTTAATAAATATTATAATTGTTTGAAAACTTGTTTCAGTCTCTTTCTCTTGTGTAAAGACTCAGTCAAAGGGAAAGAAAATATAGGCATGCTCCAAGGAATAGTATATGGCAAATCCTCTTGTCATTTTGTGGTTCTCATAGGCTACTCTGATGGAAATCAGAAGTTAAACTAGCTTCAAGTAGCTTCCTAGTCTACGATCAGAAAATCCCCATTGGACTTCAAGTAATAAAAAAAAAGATGGTCACTCAGGATAATGAAGGTAGCTGACCTGGAGTGAAACACAGCATCGCCCAGAAGAATAGGTGGTCTAAGTCAGACGTCATTAGTTGTTATCGTTCTTGCAAAGATGTTGACAGGAGAATAGCCAACTGCTTAGCTTCAGCAAAGACTTCACAGAGATAAATGAACCTGCAGGAAAGGCTGATTTTTCTGTCAAGACCACTTTCAGAGTATCCACAGGTTTACACCTATCAGTAAATTCAATAAACCATCTACCCAGAGAGAACTCCCCATTTGTGTTTCATATCATAAGCCAACAAAGTAATTTGGTGAACGGACTGTTTATAAAGAGTGAGGAAGGTAACAAAGAATGTTTTGTTTTGCTAATCAGAAATTTATTATACTTTGTTCAACAGATTTAATCAATGACTTACTTATTGTAATTTATATTTGTGAAGATTAATTTATTGACCATAAATAGTTACTTGGATACTAATTACCTTAGTTTAAGTTTAATTAAATATTGTTTTATTTGTGTATTAGGGTTGTTTAAGAGACTTCACAATCCAAGGAGGACCAGTGTTGTAAGCTATGTTTTTAATATTTTAATTTAGATATTTTGTATTGATTACTAGAGGAACTTACATGATGTAATGATGATGTGTAACATCCAGAAATTTCCCGAATCTCTAGATTGGAACTGAATCCTCGAATTTTCGTGATATTTGGGGAGACAAAGATTCCATAGAACCACAAGAGTTAGAGTTGATTAGCCAATCAGTGAGTGAGTGAGTCAGTTTGTTTGTGAAACATTTGCCGTGTTCAGAGGACCAATCAATGAGTTAGTTAATTATTTAGTTCGTTAATACGTTATGGAGTTATCAGTCGATTACTATGTTAGTTTTGAGTTGTGTCGTAGATATATGAGTAAATTTAATAAGTAAGTGAATGTTGAGTTTTATTTGTGAGTTGGCCTACCAATTAGCGTAACCTGTAGAACTTATATGTTACAGTCGAAGTAGTAAATCGCTTTTATTATTGTTTAGTGAATTGGACTTTTGTTTGTTTAAGTTTAAACGCAAAGCTGTACAACGGGCTATCTGTGCTTGGCCCACGAGTATCGAACTCCAATCTTTAGCGTACCACTGAGCCATTAGGGGCGAATTGGACTTTACATTATTCTATCCAATAGTAAAAAATAACCATTAAAAGAAAGAAACTGCTACAAGAATATTATACTTGTCTGCAATATGTTGCTGTGAGCCAATTTGTGAATAAAAGAACTGTTTATTTTTCATGGCTATACCATACTTTTTTATCACCTAATGGTTTCGAGAGGGAGCTTATTTTGAAATAAAAATAAAGACAAGTAGCATATCTTTTGAACTAATTTAAATGTAAAAATCTGTCACATATTTAATTAAGTGTAACGTAATTAACTATTCATTACAGTCCGTTATTATTCCCACTTTAGTCTAATACCTCTGAAATTCTTTTGTGTGTTGTGGAACTGTTGAAGTGAACAAAAACAATAAATTAACAAACAACAAGATGATTGGCTTGCCCAGTGTCTTGATGTGCTTTAATTATTTTAATATTTGATATGTGATTTATGATATTCAAGTATGTATTAAAACAATTACAATTATTATATACCCCATATATATTAAGTGATCTCTTTATAGAAAATATAACTGTGTATTATTAGTTGTTTTTTTTTAATTTTGAGCATTGTTATTTTAAAACAAAAACATGTAAGTCAGTCCATCAAACATGAAAACTTACTTGTTCTCTCACACATAATAACCGTCTGTAACCCCTCAAAACCCACTTCTATTTAACTCAGATTATTCTCTTTAGACACATGGTATATGCTTTTGGATCTGACATAAACACTTATTCAAGAAATTGCTGAGAATTTACCTACTTTTTGTAGTATGGTCTAGGATTAGCTTTTATAGTTTTTTTTATTAAACCAATATTCACTTTACCTTATTACAAAACCGAAAGAAGCCAAAGAAATATGAGCAATTTAAAAATACTATAATTTAGTTTTGTACATATATTAATGCTTTAAAATCAGCTTTTTGTTAATGCTTAAAGAGTTTTTCGTCCATTGAACTACACTAAGAAACGTGAAAAGCTTATAAAATTTACTGCTCAATAATTAATTAAATCTAGAGATAAGATTGTGAATTGTTGCTCCTTGTTATGAAGAATAAAGTAGCTTTTACTAGGCAAGCGAAATATTTAACACCTGATTTCTAAAAAATGAGTTTTTATTTATCTTTCGAATTTAAACGAAACGGAAATGTAACATTCCATTTGTCATTTTACAATTCTGATAAAAAAAGAAATTTGCCTTATTTCACATTTTAATTATCTAAAACATTATCCTGATCTCGTTTTTCATTTATTTTAGGTTTTTCGCGCAAACTCCACAAGGGCTAACAATGCGTAGCCGTTCCTACTTTAAAATTGATATTCTAGAAGGATGGATCAAGTCAACAGCACACACCGTCTCTTGTGTGATTGAAGAGTGAGACTTGACCGTTACTCTCATATTACACCCACAGCCCAAAAGTGCGGGGTGCGTTTTATTACAATTGACGCAAACCTGAATCCTCTGATCCACAGTATGGACACGCTAATCACTTGGCCAATCTCAGCCCTCCTGATCTCGTAATACACATTTTTAGCTCACAAAATTTTAGTGAATTCGGGATAATTTTCACTAATTCTCATAACAATGAGATTAAAAGGCGCATTTTTTCGTCCACAATTTTTTTTTCACCAATATGTAGATATATATACATATATTTTAATAGGACTCCATATTATGATATTCAGATTTATATCGTTTAGCCATTGGGTTCAGTGCCTGATTTGTAATATGTTTTTGCATAGACGATATCGCTGGAAAAAAAATCATGTATGTACTTTATACACACTGCAAGCATTAACATAAATAATTTAGAAAAATAAGGATTAATATATTTGTTTTACTTGTTTCAACTGCGTATTAAACTAATTAAACGTGACTTAACTTGTTTTGTCAGCAAAAATTAAAAAATGATACGCTCATACATTTATAATAGGAAGGTGCAAAATCACATCAGAAACAAAAATAAATAAAATAGTTTTTAAAATTTATTAAGAAATAAATACAACGTTAAGAAAATAATGTACATTAGAATACTCTCATTAAATGACATAATTAATTGTCTTCGCTATTTGAAGCATCAGAAGAAACCACGGATATTAACGTTACAAAATTATTGTTTTCACCAGTGTTAGTTTGGTTTTCCTCTTCCTCCAAATTAATAACTGTTACGTCATTGTTAAAACTGAGTTGTTTGGGAGTTCTAGGTCTGGAATTTGAAGGAAGCGTAGAAGACGAATGCATGTCGGGTGATCCACTTTCCTTGGTTTCTGCATGCTTCTTATGCTGAAGGTACTGCTTACACGTACTGTTCACAACCTTCCTAACGTGTCTGGATAATGGCTTTCTTCTCTTCCATCTGTTGTCTTGAGTTTTGATGTCTGCATCAGTAGTGCTGCTGTCCGAGATGGCCTCCAAGTAACCTAGCTTTGCCTTGTCAGAACTTTTGATCAGTGTTCCTTCATCTTCAGACGTACTTCCCACTCCATTGTTAATGAATGAGGGCTCATTGTTACAATTAACGATGCCATTATCATGTCTAGGTATTGAATTTGACCTTTGCACATTAACACGTGCAACATGAGTTGGTGTTCTGGTCAGTTTTTTTGTGACCTTATCTCTGTTGTTAGTAGGACTGAAAGTCTTGTGACTTTGATTATTAGTTTTACCTTGTTGTCTATCTTGTGAGGAGTTATTGGACTGGTCTTGCACAAGCTCATTAGAAATGTAGTCGTCGTTTACACGCGAAGTTAAATTATTAGAAGAGGATTCTCTCTCCTTCTGAGACAAACTTCTACGTTTCTCAACACAAATGTGTTTCCAATTGGCCATCTTGAAATGCTTGGTTGCTTCCAGGCCCTTCATAGCTCGACTAATCTTAACATGCCGGCCATCCATTGGAGTGGTCACAGAGGTTCTAGCTAAATCTACTAAGCAAGCTTCAATGGGGTTTTCTTCGCTAATATCACTTTCGTTATGAAAAGATGTATCAGTGCCTGAAGAGTAACCATTTTTGTTGAGAGAGTCTTCTGTAATGTCTGAGCACACAGTAGACAGAGAATCAGATTCTAAAGAACGACAACATACTTCTTGTCTTAAATTATCATAAGATGTATCACTGTCAGTGGAACTACAATGGTTCATTTCAGTACCATTGTTACAAACATCTTGAGGTATGCCATTAAGTTTATTGATCATCAGATGTTCAGCATCATCTTTCTTTTCTGCTTTATATGTCGTATCGTGTGATAACTCCTCATATAGAGTCACTGTTCTGTCAGAGCTACTATTTGAATACAAATTTTCTAAAGGTTGTTCAGAAGTTGTTTGTGACGATTCTGTGATGAAATTATCAGTTGCAGAAAAGGCAGAATCGTCAGTCTCTTGTTTCTGTAATTCAACTTCTATCATAGTTTTTGAATCGTTGGTTATGATAATATTACTTCTATCATTCACAATTTTATTATCTCCATTTTCATAGTCTTTTATGATCAAATGAATCGAATTCAAATCTTTTTGTGCGTTTTTACCATGAATGTCGTTTTCAAATAGATTTTTGTTCTTAATCTTCTTAGAAGAAAGAAGAATGTTTTGTGAAACATCTTCAAAAGAATGACAGGAGAAAATCCGATCATTGTTTAAACTAGTGGGTGCTTTATGTGACCCGTTCAAAGAAGAAACACGTTTGGCACTGTTTGGCAGTTCCTTCCTCTTGTGATTAGATCTCACCCCTTTCTTTAAAGTCCAATTTTCTGACACAGGGGACATAGTATGAAAATTTTTGTTATATTTTGAAGACATATCAAAATGTTTATTTAGCTTTCCAATAGAACCTCTGAAGTCTCTGATTAGCTGTGACAGAGGTGATTTCTCCTTTTCTCCATAAACATTTGAAAATTCATAATTCATTCCAGGTACTCTTCCTTCAGACAATTTTCTGGCCAGTCTATTGGACAGCTCTAAATAATCCTCTATGGATGGATGGTCACTGTCAGATGCACTTTCATCTCTACCTTTTTGGCTTTTTTTAGGGGTACAGCTTTCTTTATCATGGCAATTTTTTCTTCGATTTTTCATATTAAACCTTTTTAAAGAATCTGAAAGTTCAGAATCAGAGTTTTCTACCCCATTTAATTTGGACAACAATAAATCCCCCTTCCGTTCATAAGTCATGTCCGGCTTCATAATTGATGAAGCATTTTCTTGTCTCTTATCTGTGATTTCACTTTCTGTTAACATTTTCTTACTCACTAATTGTACGTTCGTGGCAGATACAGCTTCACTGTCTATATCTGCATCACTCGCAGAGTTCTCAAGACTGTCATCAAACCTCTCACTAGAAGAATGAGTAGAATCGTCATCAAAATCATCTGAATTCCTTAACGCTTTATCTTGTTTAACAAATTTAGTAATTTCTTTGGATGGTGTAATGTTAGCGTTAGTTTCAATTGGATTTTGCTCCATTGTATCAACTAGCGAAAATGGTTTGTTTTCTGCTATTTTATCTTTTGTAATATCTGACTGTGGATCTTCATTTTCTTGGGAGTAACAATTATTCTGAAAATTTGTATTATCTTTTCTTGCTCCTGAATCATCCTCTAAAGAAAGCTTATGAATAAGTAGCCGTCTGGATATTCTGGAATTATCTATACTGGCAAAAGGAGAACTGTTATTGAGGGCTGTTTGTTTGCCCAGCTCTGTTTCAGTTACTATGGAGATATTTTCTGTTGAATTCTCAATAATGTTTTCTTTCCATTCTCCAAAATCATCTGGATTATTATCTCCCTGCTTCACTTCTAAAACTGGAACTTCTTTTTCGTCTTCATGGATAGCTTGTTGACCGTGAGTTTCTTGTAATCTTTTAATTTTTTCATAAAGATCGAGTCTAAACAAATCAAACTTGGACATGTTTTCCATAGTAGTATGGTTAGGCTTAGGAGCAGACGAAAACGAGTTCTCAGAATGCCGTACTTTTTGAGCTAAACCAATAGAAATGTTTAAAGAATTGAGACAATCTTGTGTTACATTCTGATTTTTCTTCAATCTGCTGTGTCGGGGAGGTGGTTGAGGTGGCATAAGTTCTTTTCCCAATTCCAGAGTCCCGAGCACACCACTATGGTAACATTCAACTTTGTCTTTCGGTTCAATACCTGTTTTATTTTCTCTTACAGGAATTTTCAAGCATTTGGATGTGTTTGGTTGTTCATTCCTTCGTTGTTTAAAGTCCCGGAAAAAATAATCATCTTCTGGAATTGTAATTAATGTAGGTTTGTAGCGTAAGTTCTGAAGGCGTTTTTTAGCTGTACCTATCATTTCTCGAATTCTCACAAGAATTTCCAAAGCAGGAAGTGGCGGTGACGCTAGCAATTGAGGGTCAAAATATTCAGGAATCAACGTAGGTTTAGATGGAGGTTTCTCCATTGGTTGTTGCTGCATACTATGAATCTGAGAAGCTATAGTTGTCTGGAGGGCTTGCTTTCCAGATGGAAAGGCCTGTCTATAGGACACGGTGGTGTCAGCAAAAGATGATCCAGCAATATTAACAGATTCAGTAGGTGTTAAATCCTAAAATAAAAAAATGTACTTTTTATAATATAATTTCACTAACATTCAACCTACATGCATTCAACCAACATTCATGCAGTGCGTTTGTTAATTTGTTTTTTTGTCTGCAAACTCCACCCATAGTTTTGGAATTAGCAGGACCAAACTTGGCAAACAGATTTGGGGTGGCCTGGGTAGAAGGGGTTCTTTTTTCTAAAAGGCATAAACCCCCATGCTAAAGAGGCTAAACTGTGCCCAGAAATTCACCCAGGTAAGATTGGAGTTAAGAGTTGGTTTCAAGGTTTCTGAGCTCCAATATGGGATCAAATTTTGTGTTTCTGTCTTTTCTTGAGATCCCCGGTGTTCATATCCTCACTCACATGAATATTCTTTATTACTAAGACTTTATCCTAAGAGTTTCTCAGTTTATTAATCTGCTGTGGAAATTTAAAATATAGCATTAAATACGTGATATCACATATTAAACAGTAAGTCACAGAAGAAGAAATGAACTTCGTCACACTACTTACGTGAACATGAGCCTCAGAAGGCAATAGCTGACTTCCTGACTGTTCATTTACAGTTTCCACATTCTCTTGTTTCTGGTCACTTTTCTGTATGCACAAAAAATATATATTGCTAGTTTAAATATAAAATGGAAAAATCGGGTAGATGTTATTCATATTATTGTTGTGAAAACAAAATTCCAAAGACCTAATACTGTTCATCATTTTACAGTAATGGCTGATAGCATATACAATATAAGCCTTAAAAATATCACATCAGTTAAAATTTTTATTTCTTCTTATAACAGATCAAGAAAAAAGGTTGAAAAACAAATATGATTTTATTTATATAAAAATAAATAAATAGAAATATGATACTTTGCTTGTTTACTTTTGGTATCTTATGGAAATTATGAATATTTATTGTTCTGTCATAAAGTGTGAAAACTCTTTCAATAAATGTGCCTTAGTCTACCTATTCGTATTAAGAGCCGAAAAAACCCTTTTTTAGTTATTTTTACAAAATAAGTATGATAACCTGTGCATTTTCTTCAGCAAGACTCTCCTCATCTTCACCAGTCTCTCCAAGAGATGTTCTGCTTCTTTGTTCCTTTGCTCTGTTTTTCCGGACCTTCAGGTAGACTAGGACAGCAAGGACGTAGATTAAGCCTAAGATTCCCACACAAAGACCGATAATGATAAACCTGTAGTTGCTGGGTTGTGGTGGAAGCTCAACTTCTTTTGTAGGTGTTCCTAATCCTAAAATAGCATAAAATATTTTTTACGATCAATATGTTATCATTACAACCAAATACCTCAAAGTACAGAATAAAATAAAAATAATTGCACAAAATTCACTGACTTAATCATTATTTAACTTTTATTTTTTTTCATTTGAGGATGGTTTACTTTTAAGTGATCTTCAATAAATTACTAACTTTGATGTGGTATAAAACAAGGTAATGAAGCATAGGATGAAATAACAACACACAGGTTAAATTTACTATTATCATTGAGACATGAAATAATTGTTCCTGTATGTGTTATAATTAATAGTATTATATTAGATTTAGTTCATAAAGAGTTGAACAAAATATTTACATCGTGTTTGCTTTATTTCAGAATGCAATAAAAACAGGCAGTGTGTTACCATAGGAAACTGAATGCAATAAATATTTTATAATTACATTTATATTTGTTATGCAATGTATGGAAGCGTATTAAATATCTTACATAAAAAATATATACTAACTTTCATTTATATTCCTCAAAAATATCACAATCTATGTAATTAAAAGAACAATGTGTATCAGTCAGTTAGTCTATCGTGTATGCGAGCTCGCTCACATGAAAACCCAATATCCCTATTGGCTAATTGTACAGTGGTACTTTTACGTTTATACGAGTGCAAAAGTAAACAACGTTTAACGTGTATTGTTCTATATGAGTGCAAAACTATGACGTTTATAACATTAACTTTAAAGACAGTTGCTTCATTAACATAAACAAACACACAAGGAAACATATTAAGTTAATTCTTTACCTTTAAATGGCTAATGAATAACATAATACCATTACATCTTAATACAAACTCTAACAGGCATCTAAAAATCGACAATGAGGCCTAAGTTTAAATATGCTTCTACGCGAAACAAGACTTTAACCGTTATATAATCTACGGCAATTAGACTTAATGGTCACTGCCACAACTTTACTCATTTATGATGCTCTACAGCTAACACATTGCGCGAAAGAAAATAATTACAGGTTTCAGGTAATATAAAATTGCAGTTTTAATACATATGCACCCAAGAAATTTACAAATAAAAAAAAACACGACGACAGTTGATTTTTACACTTCCTGATACCATAATTTTACAAATTCACCATTTCATAATTACTGTACATTTCCGACTATCTCAGTAGAGGCGCCTATAAATCGACAATTATGCCTAAACTTTAAATACACTTCCTACACGAAGAACGACTTTACCCGCTAGGGGAATACATATTACACCATTTCCGTTATTGGTGGCAGTAGACCCAATATTTTTGTTAATACTTTCGGGGAGAGTAAAAATTAATACTATTATAGAATGAAAAATAAAAATAAGTGATGTAGCGACAAACGAAAACAGTTTATTATTTTACATCGTCGCTTTATCAAGTATTCGATCAAGAAAAAATCTGAATATCTTGGTCAAAGATGGCGATTATCCAAAAAGATAAGGTATTTATACAAAAAATGCTGTGTACAAAAATATATTTCGTTTATAGTCATTCCATGTTCTTACACTTTTTTACTTTAAATCTAAATACAACTCCATTATCTGTTTAGTAGGTTTTTGTTTCATTCATGTCCAACTCTATAATACAACAGCATTATATAAATGATTTATCCATTTAAATCATATACCCTACTCACATATATAATGTTACGACAGCGGAAGTCACGTGACCCTGGCAACACGTCATGAGACTCTCGAAGGATCTTGACTTTTCCTCGCAACTCTAGTCTTTTCTAGGCGCCCTCTATTTTAGTATATAAGCCCAGCAAATAAAGCGGAGATATAATTGCAGACAGACAGATATAGAGACACATAATTGAGTCAAGCGAGCGGTAGTGACCGTAAGTAAAGTGCGTTGTAAATTATAGCGTGTGTTTAAGTTAAAGTGACTGTGGAAATTCTGTGTATTGCAAAGTTGTATTGAGAAAGAATAAACTAGTTTTAACTAAGAAATGACTTGTATAGCTGAAGTTCCTCGGAAAGAATTTATACTGGAAATTAACAAACGAGCAGATACACAACAATAGTATTCCACTTAATAATGCTGCATAGTGAAAAAAATATTTGGGCTTTGGCTCATGAGGCACACACAACACACGGTTTATGCGGAAGGTCGAAGATTCAATCCCGTCTATATACATTTTTCTTTCTTCATTTATCTATTTTGCTAACCAATGCTTCAGTAGTCAAATAATTTTTGTACATACATCGTAATAAATGGGTTATATAAATAGTGTTACGACAATTACTGTGTTTGTTGTGTCTCAGCCAACCTGACGAGCTCTGAATTGAACGAAACGCTTCGTCGGTAATGGATATGGGGAATGTAATGTAATTGGAAAGCTATTATTATACATTCTTCTAATTCTCGAAAAACTAAAAACTAGATAAAGAATGAAGTGCTAAAAACATAAAAGGCCTAATACTAATGTCTTATGACAAGTGTAGATGACTATAATCATGCTTCGCTAGCATGGAAAGGGCGTTCATAACAGAGTAATTGTTGTAAAAACATATTTTTGTACACAAACTGCACATTGCCGATTGTGTATTTCCATGTTCACGTGAAAACCAAGTACTGCAGAAATGATTCTCGCATGAAATAGCAGAATTTGGCTAGCATATAATTATGAATTGTACATTTAATGGTGAAAATTGTTGATTATGCTGTAGATATATATATATTCCTGCAGTGTTCTTGAAACTAATCCACTGTAGTGTGCTGTGCTCAGATGGAAAAGTCGGGCCTATGTCCTTGGTATTTTTCTACTTAATCATGTTTGAAAGATTTGTGTAATTACTCTGTGACATACCTTATCCACATGGCCGTTTTCTGAAAAAAAAATTAAGTATTGAGAGAAAATTGGATTTATATTTTAATTTGCTGTTATATATTGTTTGTTTGAAGTTAAGCACAAAGCTACATATCTGTGCTCTGCCCACCACGGGTATCGAAACCCGGTTTCTATCGTTGTGTGTCCGCAGACATACCGCTGTGCCACTGAGCACTGTTATATATGCTGGTAGACCATTATAAACTGTACTGAAGTGTCCATGATGTGAAAATGTACTGGTCATGCAAATTTAGGTGTGTACATGGTAGAGTAAGACGCCAAGTACTTACAGCAAATGTTAGACATATATTATGGTATGCAGATTAGGGAACGCCAAACTAATGAAATGGTAATGAAAGGGACACGTCTCATTTGTTTTTAATGATTTAAGTATATACCCATAAATTTGACCTATTTAAAACTCACAACTTTACTTGCACATGAAAGTTTATATAATTTGTAATTTTATAACTTGTCATATTTTTCTGAAGTCAACATCAGTTAAATATATCAGATCAAATGTAAATACCATTTTCATGCTTTAATCTGCATATGTCTTGTACTACACCTGTAATATATATGATTTTCATATAAAATAAAATGTTTTTCATAACTAAGTAAATTAACTTTGTTATGTCGACATTCAAAGGTAAATTCCACTATGGGGAATGATATTTAGTCTTAATGGCAGGGTGATCTTGAGAGCCACTGTTCTGATGAGGAGAATGTTAGCATTTCATCCAAAAATATTTTTTTCTGATTACAGAATAATAATATTAGTAAAATATCTTAAACTGGGTTTCACCAAGATGATAAATTGTCAGTATCATGGGGAATTCTTTTTTTTTCTTTACAATAAAAGACTGGTTATGTACATGAGTTAAGCTGCAATAAAAAATGGAGGATTGTTGGAAAATTGGAGGGTTGTTGCAAATTTTTTCCTACACTTCAAGCCTTTAAGTATAAGATCTAGCAGAGACCATTTGGAGAGAAAGAGCTCAGATCCAAAAAGATCTAGTATTAAGTGAAAGGAAGGGGGGGGGGGAGAACATGACCATTCGGTAAAAAGAGAAAAGGGGAGTCTTTAAAATAGTAATATTGTTAAATTTATTGTCTTTAGATCTAGTACAGTATATATAATGCATCATTTATGAAATAAGTATAATGATTTTTGTTACTTCTCGACTCGAAACAGAACATTGGCTTATTTATTCATCCAGTGAGTCAGAGGTAACTTTATGGACTTACAGTGCTAAAATCCAGGGTTTGAGTACCCACGTTGGACAGAGAGCAGACAGTCCCTTATGTATTCAAATTCGATTACGAGAAACCCACTTTGAGACTAATAATGCTTGGAGACGGCTTGAATGGGTAACGAAGAAAACTTTAATACAAGTTTAACATAACAGCAAATGTACAATGTTGCAACAAGATTTTGTCATCATGTGACCTCTTTGTTATACTGCATATATATATATATATCTGTGTTTGTGTCAGTGTAAACTACTTGTACCTGATGATGACAAAACCTTGTCAAAACTTTGTACATTTGCTGTTATGTTAAACTTATATTAAAGCGATACATGTGCCTCTTTGTTCCATACTGTGTATATATATATATATATATA